ATACTTTTGTGAAGCATTATTTAAACGAATGCCTTGTTTTTCAAACGATAAATGCAAAAAGAAGATATCACAAGGTCAAAAAATTTAATGTTTTTATATGATCAATATTTATTTATATGTAAAACTACACTGTATTATAGATTTTTTTTTTGTAATTAATGCTCATTTTAATTTGACTTTAAGTGGAATGTTTAGTGTGTACAATTGTTTAAAAAAATCCTAGCCTGGCTTCATTTTGATCTAGGATCAGTTATTATGATCCATGTAGGACACTTATCTTTTCAAGATGTAAAATGACTTTGATTTCAATAAATGTAATTTTAGCATATGAGAAAGAATTATGATTAGCAAATAATAAGCAGCTGACTAATAATGGTTGAATATTCTGTAGTGTACAGTATATTCAATTAAAACATCTTTTCAAGAGATGTTACTTCTGTAAAAAATCTGTCTCAAATTCAGTGACACGATCAGTGTGCGTTCATGTTACTCTCTGAGTCAACACGCTTTAGCAATACATTGTGGACAGATTGTGTGCAGAGAAACAAGTAGTAATACTTTTTAGTGTAAATGTCAAAATAACACAAAAGCTAGTGTGTAACTGCGGTCCTACGCTGGAGTTTTATTTTAAAAACGAGAATTTTAAGTAATTTGAATTGTGATTAAAGAGCTCTTGGTGATAACGTTGTTTAAATGTGTAGTTCTCAGCATCGCTGGCTATTCCTCTTAAACGATGCATGCATTTCCTGTGATCTGTTGGGCGCTAAGCACACAAAGAAAGTGGGTGGCTTATTATATTGATGTACAGCAATATTGTTGTTGTTTTACGAGAAAATACCACAGTGACAAAAATAAGTGAGTATTACCCATAGGGCCAACAAGCATGTTGTTTCTTAAAAACACATCATGGCTATTTTTATTATATTCGGGTATTATTATTACAGTGCTTTTTGTATAATAGGTTGAGAACATTTTAAATGACATATTCTGGTCTAACAAACACCTCTCTAATAGGCCTACCTCTCATTCAAAGTAGTGGGATTGCAGTGCTTCCACAGATTCTACACACAAACATACTCCGAACTAGAAAACTTGCATTTTAATATACATAATAATGGGCTGATGGGAAGCGAAGTAAACTGTCAGTTACACGGGTATGGAGATGAAAATGTGTGGGGTTTTATATTTCACAAGACAGCAATTACATGTGTTTTTTTTTCTCCCTGTAAGTGAAAATGTATTATAACTAATACTGTAGAATAAGCGATGGCTTTAGATGTAATATATGAAACGTTGCTTTATTGAAGATTCGTTTTTTTTAATGGAGGAGTATGATAGGCTACACTTAATGTCACCTCATAGCACAGAAAACAAGAATGTAGTGTTTAGAATACTAATAATACAGTGGTTTCACAGACTTGTAATGGCTAGATTCATTTGAATGTTCTAGATGATGTTAACTGCAGCTAAACTTGCTTTTGTGGAGAGTTGCTGGCTTTTTATGCTTTTCTTTGTGCATATTTTATGCCACTGACTGTGATGAGAAATTATTTTTGTTGGATGTATGGTAAATCATTATAGACTTCATTTTGAAACATTAAATGTTTTTGACAAGTGAATATGAAGTTGAACTTTTCTAATAATAATCTTTTTGTATTAGGACAAAATTAATTATTAAAAGCAGTACAACTGCAGATGATTATGTAAGTTTATAAATAATGTCAACTTTGTGGGAAAATACAGTAAATGTAGGTGCATTTACATATATACCATAATAATACAACATCACAAAGCACATAATAAAAATATTTACTCCATACATTTAACATTCAACAAAGCTAATACACATCTGAATACGTTAAGGCATGTTGGTGAATGTAGCAACAATGCTTACACAATCAAGAAAACGGAAGTTATCTGAATGGGTAACATTTTCACAAGCTGAAAAAGACAATACACCACACAACATTAAAAACAATTAGAGGATAAATACCTTTTAGCATATGCTGTAACCATGTCAGAAAGTTCACAGTCTTTTGTAACTGAATGCTTATGAATTCATGGTCCCAAATTCATATTCTATCCACTTATATTTTGAAACAAAAAAATATGCAAAAAGCATATAGAATCAGTTCAGTCAGACTCAACTGCTCAGTCATATGAGCAATTCTTTTCACCTATTAAAATATATCAATACTGAAGTGTGCCTCCAAGTCAATGTTAGAATTATTATTATTCATGAAAATAGATGTTATGTAAATATGAATTAATTTATTCATTTAAAATTAAAACACCAAATAACAAATGTCGGCAAATATAGTACATCAAGTAAAATATATAGGCTACAGCAAGCATATATTTACAAACACATTTAGCAACAATAAAACAAGATATCAATTCTGATTCAAAGTAGTGGGATTGCAGTGCTTCCACAGATTCTACACACAAACATACTCCGAACTAGAAAACTTGCATTTTAATATACATAATAATGGGCTGATGGGAAGCGAAGTAAACTGTCAGTTACACGGGTATGGAGATGAAAATGTGTGGGGTTTTATATTTCACAAGACAGCAATTACATGTGTTTTTTTTTCTCCCTGTAAGTGAAAATGTATTATAACTAATACTGTAGAATAAGCGATGGCTTTAGATGTAATATATGAAACGTTGCTTTATTGAAGATTCGCCGAACTAGAAAACTTGCATTTTAATATACATAATAATGGGCTGATGGGAAGCGAAGTAAACTGTCAGTTACACGGGTATGGAGATGAAAATGTGTGGGGTTTTATATTTCACAAGACAGCAATTACATGTGTTTTTTTTTCTCCCTGTAAGTGAAAATGTATTATAACTAATACTGTAGGATAAGCGATGGCTTTAGATGTAATATATGAAACGTTGCTTTATTGAAGATTCGTGGTCTCTGTTTACTGTAAGGCAATTAGCTGTGCATTCAACATCTATACATCTATGCAATCTCAACTTTCAAGCCAAGCAGACCATACTACGGAGTGACAAATACAAATTATGGAGAAATGGGTTTTAGGATCATCGTTTGCTTTTTTTTTTGGATGGGTTAAAGGGGTGAACTGTACCTTTAGTTTTGTCTCTAAATAGTCATAAGTGAAAATGTATTATAACTAATACTGTAGAAT